ACTACGATATTACTGCTTTTTACTAGTGTTATTTATTACTGTCTTGAATCAACTTTAATCCTAAAACCATCCTAAAATCATTGTTTGAAATTTCGTGCGGATTTCGCCAGCCGCCGCATTCGCCACCCACTTCACCACCATAGGATTCGCAGTTTTTGCTGCGACAGTGATTTGCGGATTAAAGACTCGTTCGAGATTAGAAATAGTACACTCATCGCAAAGATACTACTTGTGATATTAATTATAAAATTTTATTTATAAACTATAAATAAAATTCTAATTTTATAAACAGGATGTTATAATTAAAAGTAGAGGTGGTATTATTTAAGGGGTATCTCCTTTTTTTCCTTTCGGCCGGAAGGGCCTCTCCTATTTCACTTACGTATCAGTGTTCGTTCGCTGTTTGATTGACTTGACGAGCACTTAATGATGCAATCCAGGGAGCGCTGTTTTGGAGATTTGGGCATGGATTCACGCGTACACACACATACATACATATGATATGTATGCATGCATGCATATATTTATATATTGATAAATGCATGATTCGTAGGCTGTGGCCTGCAACTGGCGAATCTTGTGGCAGCTGATGGGGTAATCGGAACAACGACAAAATTCAGAAATAAATTATATGCGTTTGTGGATGATGGAAGCTCACATGCACCTGCTTGTAATAAAAAAATAAAATTAAAAAAATTAAGAAAACACGAAGTTTCCATGACTGCGCCGTAAGCATTGTACACTGAAACACGCTTACTTTCTCATATGGCATTATCCTCAAACCAAACCAAACAGCCACGTACGTATCTATTGTACTGGTCCTATTTATAAAATAGGAAAGAATTTTTTTTAACCCTGTTTATAAGACATCAAGGGAATTTTTTTTATATAGATGTATAATTTTATTATTCATTTATTAGTCTGTTAATTTTATTTGCATAAAATATTATCTATATTGAGTAAGGATAAAATTAAAAATTGATTAAATTTTAAATAAAAATTAATAAAACTTAAAATATTTTTTGATTTATGTGAAACATACTATGTTATACAGCACCTTTTTTTTTAATAAAAAAGAAATTATTAATATTAATAGGTGAATTGGAATTGGTAAGATCCCATGTGGGCAGCCCGCGAAACGGCGCCCCACCCTTCTATTTTCCTATTTCCCCCCGGATTGACGCTTACGCGTAAAAGAGGGGCAAAGGCGACATAGGTGGGTCCCTCACAGAGCGGCCGTATGAGAAATGATTCGGTTCAGGGATAAAGCGGCTGCCGCTTCTCGTGGTGGGCCCGCCCCCGCACTCTCACCCCCAACTCATTATTATTTATTTCTTATTTTTTGGCCAACAATATATTTGTCGGTAATGCAGTACTGCTTCTTCCTATAAATAAAATTCCACTTCAATTCTTGCACAGTCATTATTTTTTAAGGCTAATTTACTTGATTAATAAATTAATATATGACTTAATATCACATAAAAGTATTTTAAAGAGATCATATCACATTTATTATGGTTGACTTATTTATTAAGGTTTAACCTTTTATTTAATTGAAGTATCATAAGAATAATAGAATATGCATGCCGCCTTTTGCACTGAGGCTATTATAATGTTGATGGCTAGTTGGCAGTATAATTTGAAAATAACACATCAAGATGAGATGAATGGTTGTAGATATTAATCGCGTGCATGCACCTTTATTAATCATGATCTGTGTCCGCTATGTTTGTGCTTGTTTATTGGTCGGGGCGGGGAGAAAAAAAGGGAATATCAGAAACAAGTTGGGGGTGACAATAATTGGGATAGTGTTGGGCAGCCATGGTTGGTTGAGGATATTATAGAAATATGATCACATCTAGTAGATTTTTGTGGGCGAATGAGAGGGGGGAAAAAGAGAAAGGATTAAAATATTGGTGAATTATTATTATTATTATTATTATGAAGCAGGAAGGGAATAATGAGAGGATGAGACTGATACGTAGCAAATAGTTGCAGCTCGCAAGGATGGGGGGTAGAGAGAGAAGGAGAAGCGGCGCACGCCACGTTGACGTGTCCCATAAAAAGGCAAGGCAAGCCTGGTGGGTGGGTCCCAGGAGGGCATGGTGCTGTTGTTGACTCCATGCTTTGCCCTCCATGCTTTATCTGTGTTTTCCTTTTTAAATGAAATATAAAATTTATTATTAAAAGAGTGCTCACAAATAAGTGTTTTTGGAATGAATTGTCTAGTCATCCTTGAACTTAACGTCATATATTTTCATATACAAAAAAACATATATATATTCTGAAGGATCCTGTGCTTTTTTTTTCCCTAGAGTTTAAGAATTGTTAGGAAATTAATAATCTAAACGGGTAATTATGAGTAATTTTTCCCTTTATCAGACTAGGATTTTTTAAATAAAATCTGACCAGTACGATTTCGTTGGCAGATACGGAGCCATTTGTATTAGAAAACATACCATGTCAGTCGGCTTGAGTGGCTGGAGATAATATGGGAGGGCAGACAGAAGGGGGTGGATGGGAAAAGGGAAGGAAAGGGGGAAGGAATACCTCGTGATTCGCCACGTTTGGATGGGCAGGGAGGATAGTTTAATTAACTAATTAAGTAATTGCTTAATTAAGTACTAATGGGAACAAACAAAACAAGAGGAGATTGAAGAAGAAATGATAGGGATCAGTGGTGCGTGTGGGGAATTGGTTAGGTGGGGGCGGCTGCCGTCTAATTAAACCTTTCATTACTCATCTTTTGTTGGCGCTTGAGGTGACACCTCCTTTTAAGGATTTCTTCCTCTTTTTATAATTATCAGCGGCGGCGCCTTCTTCTCCCCTCTTCCTCCCCTGCCCCCATAATCCACTCCTCTTCCGGCGCGTGCTTCCTACTCTCCGACGCTACCCCTCATCCTGCTCTTATCCGGAGCAGGCTTTCCTCCTCTACCACTACCACTGCCATCGTCCATCCTCTTCTATTCTTTTACCTCTGGCGCTATTTTCTTTTTTCAGCGGTATCTAGTGCTACTATCTTAAAATAATATTTAATATACCTGACACTTGAAAATACTTTTTTTAATGGTACTCAACACCTAGTAAGTCATGTTTTAAATTATTTTTTCAATAACATTCAGTACTCTAAAAATGAAAGCTAACCATTTTTTTCCTTTAAACCAATATCCATTACTTTGAAATACTCCCTCCGTTCCTTATTATAAAAGACGAATAACCGAATTACGTTGATCAAAAAAACAGTTAAAATTAGTTAAGAACAATTAATATGTAAAAAGTATAATTTTTTTCCAAAAATATCCTCATTAATAAGGAGAGAGAACAATGGTAATTTATTAAAAGAAAGAGAAGTGGGAAGGAGAGAGAGTGTGAGTTGGAGACAATAAATATGGGTAAAATAGGAAATCATCACAAAAAAGTAGAGACAACTTTTAAGTGTCTCTTATATATAGGAACATGCCATAAGCACCAAATGTCTCTTATAATAAGGAACGGAGGGAGTATCTTTTAGTAGCATTTACTATCCTAAAATAATTTTTAATGCATTTAACACTTTAAAATATTTTTTTAATAGCACCCAGTGTTCTGTAAATTGAATATGCAATATTTTTTCAGAAGCACACCGTATTTTAAACTAACTTTGGGATATTGAGTGTTATTACATGAAACATAATGTAGAGTATTATAGGTACTAAAAATAGTTTAGAGTATACCTTGCTAAATGTTGGGTGCTACAAAATTTTTTTTATGAATGTTAGGTATACTAAAAATTGTTTTAAGATACTGAATATTATTAAAAAAATACTTCATAATAAAAAATGTCGATATGAAGAAAAAAGTAGCAGCATTCAATTTTAACGCAAAAAAAGAAAAGAAAAAGGAAAGGCATAGTTTTAGATAGAAAAAGAGAAGTAGGTGGTAAGGGCAGAGGAGGAAACAAGCTCGTCCCAAAGAATGGTCCTCATCATGGCTTCCCACTTCAGCAGTTTACTAATTTAATTTAATCTAATTAGTATTGTGGGTTACAAATCTAAATTTAACTTGAACCCACGTCTCTCGTTTAGGTTCATCAATTTCAGATAATGAAACCTCAGCATCAGTCAATGAAGAAATCCAGAAAGCCGGTGATTTAAGTACATCTCAGTTTTTATTTTTATCTTTTGATCAATTATTCTCTCACGTTACACTGGGGAGCTAAAATATGATTTTGTTAAGTTTTTCATTTGGTTTTAAGATAAAAAATACTCTTCCGATCCTAAATATAAGATCCTTATACTCATTAATATAATGGTCTTATATTTAGAACCGGAGGGGTATGTTATTTAGCTCTTGCTCATGGTTGAATAAAAATTTAGTCCATGGTAACGCATTTTCAAAATGTAACGATAATAATATTATCATATCTTTCGAGATACAACACTCAATGTAAATTACTCATTTGGCTCTATTTACAAGTTGTGTTTCATATAGACAAAAAAAAAACCTTAAATTTCATTAACTTTTATTTAAAATTTCATAAAATTTTAATTTTATCCTTATTTAGTATACATTATACCTCATGTAAACAAAGTCAACACAATAATAAATGAAGGGTAAAATTGTACATTCATATAAAATTTTTTTTTCTCAATGCCCTATAAATAGGACTAAAAACGTCTTTTTTTTTCTATCTTATAAATAGAATCAGAAAAATATTCTATTATTGGGTGTGATCAATTCATAAAAGAAGAGTTTTTGTTTTTTGGGTTGCCTATTGAATTTTACAGGAGATATCAAAATTACTGATTTTTTTTTTTCGCCGACGAGATCAAAATTACTGAAGTTGATTTGCCTTAAACCGGGCCTATTTGCGTATTCCGGAAATGAACATGCGCAAAGGCACGAGAAAGTAAAATATTAGGACAAGCAAGTCCTCCTGCCATATCTTTCTACTGATACATTGATACTGTATTTATGGGTAAAAGAAGGGGGGTAAAAAGAAATCTATGCATCAGAGGCTTTGACTGCGTATGAGGAAAACGGAAAGTACCTGTATTCCCGGTATCGCATTCCGTAGGCGCAACGTCAGCTGGAAGCTAGGAGTTCTGACGAACTGCGATCCCGAGTGCAAATTTGGACCTGTCCCGCGTTATTTGCTATTGTAGGAAAGGTGGTCTGGGCATGATAGCGCGTAGATGGGGAGGGTTTTCCTAGTTGATTTGGAAGGCAGGGCTTACAGATGCAGATACTGCGACGCCCCTCTGGCTCTTGCTGAGGACGTTATCTCTCGGGTACTTTATTTTCTCTCTCACTTTTCTCAGTCGCTTCTTTCAATTCGTAGCTGAAACAATTGCAGATAAGCTATCTTTGGGACGGAATCGATTGTTCCGGGGGAAACGTTTTGATTTTTTTTTTTTGTCCCTTAGATAATCTATCAAACCCCGAGGCACTGATTGATTGAACTGATGGGATCGAATTGCTTCAACTATATTGTTAATTAAATATAACTTAATACTTCGCTTTCAGAACCGAAGACTTATAGTTTAATTCTGTTTGTGGGTTCTCTGTGACTTTCTGGGAAATTAGGCATGTACGACTGAGCTTATTAATCTTATTTTCAAGGGAACGATGAATTCAATTTTGATGGATTTAAACGTCTACAGCGAAGCGTTCCCACCTTGTATGGTGGTAAACGTTTAACTCATGAGGCAAGACGCACGATCTTTTCCGAAATGAAGTTACAGCAACTAGTTCCGTAAAATTTTGGCGAGAGAGTGATTGGACAAGTGTAGTTTAGCTTTAATCCGCAAGCAACGATATGGAGAGAAAATTAATGGTGGGAAAGCAGGGATGAACGGACTTCTCTGACATATAAACTCATCATTCCTTTTTAGGGAGATGTTGGTGGTGAATGAAGGCTGTGCTCCCGCCACCATGTCCCAGAATTTGTCAATGGAATAACTTTGATTAGGGAACAGAAACTGGCCGTTGGATGTGACACACGACAAAATGCTTTAAGGAGTGGGGGACACAACGTTTCGTATTATATTTGAATCTCGGACTAAAAGCAAAGCCGTTTAAGTAAAGCATAGAAAACAGCTTTTAAGTCACCATACCTTAGTTCCTTGATGGTTGATGTTCTTAAATCTCCATTTTGATTCTTACAGTGCACGCTCTATATTTTCTTCTTCTCTGAGTCTCTTATTTTCTTGTGTATTGTATACTTTTACTGTACTTGGGCTTCCTCTCATTCTGACGTTGGGACCATCTCTAAAACTGAGTTTTTGCTAGTGTATTGTATACCTTCCCTTGCTTGGTTTTTGTAGTATTATCTTCCCCATAGCTGATATTGTTGTTGCTTCATTCAAAACGAAATTAACTTTTTTGATGATATCTTGGTAATTTTTGTATATTAGTCTCTGTAGTTTATGTACGCAGAGAGTAGTGCTTGAAATGGATAGTGCTGGAGGAAGGTGTTAATGACTAGTGTTTCTCCTGCATTCCTCTTATAAACACACGCACGCACGCATGATAACATAAAATGATTTAATTAGTTTTTGGCTCCTTGTGCTTGCTGTCTATCTCAGATTTTTATTGAAAATTGTTTTTCTTTGAATGTTGAAAACGTGTCTAGCTCATTGATTGTGTGAAGTGTAGGAGCCTTTCATATGGCTTGGCAATCTAACTTCTTTTCTTGCCTTTGTGATGTAATCAGTCCTTCAACTGCCGTCGAGGGAGAGCATACCTATTTAGCAATGTGTAAGTTGTTTGAAATTTCTGCTTCTTTTTCACCATTTCTTGTTTAATCTTATGATATGGAGATACTCTTATCAGTATTCGGCATTTGGCATTTTGCAACTGATTTGGTTGAAGTTCCTATTTTGGTCCTGTCCTTCTCCAAATCATCTGTTCCTTTACCAATATGGGAAACTACATTAAAAAATTATGATTCAATTGTTTTCAGATTTTAATAGTACATGACCTTTGTAAGAGGGAAGCCTATTGGGTTGTCAGAATATTGATGTTGGTTCCTTATTGAAGTTACTAATAGTGTCAATCTTACACAATTATTTCAAAGCCTCCATTGTGCCCAGCAATATGGACTTACAGAAGTTTAAAGGAAATCTGAGGCAAATGCCATCCGAGAGGACAAGAGGATTCAAGAGCAAAGAGACTTAAAAATTGAGCAGTTTTCCAATCAACAAAATATTTAACGAGTTTGGTACTATTCTATATTGTGAAAAAATGAGTGTGCCACTTTTTCTTTGTAACCATAATTGTCACACTTGACACCTGGAGGACAAATTGTAGCATTTGCCGTCCTGACAACTCATTGCTCTCTAGTAACAAGTGTGGGTGGCAATAATGTTATGTGACCTCTTTTGTTTATAGGTAGTGTTTGGATGGATGACAAGGAATGAAATGGAGGAGCTTAAGTGAGTGTGGGTTGGGCCTTTATGAGATTATCTTAAAGGATGAAATGGTAGAAGACTGCACTTTGCCCTCCAAAACCCCGTTCTGTTTTTCCTCCCCGTGGCCCAGGGCCAGGGGGGCGGGGGGGAATTATTTGCTCCAAATTTTAAATTATAAATGCACTCTCTACCCTAGTTTACTCTTACATGTCTGTTTCACAAGTTGGAAAAAGGGATTTTTAAGCGTTTCATCCCGTTCTTCTCATTGCAACTTCCAAACAATTGGAAAGGACTCCCTTCATTAAGACTTCTTAGCAATCCCATTCAGATATTTGCCATCCTATTCCATCCCCTCATAAACACTCAAGCAGAGCATTAATTTTGAAAATGTGTTTGAATAACTAGCATTTCTCTGTGCTATCATTCAATGCGAAACATCAGCTTATAAGCCAAATCACAAAAATGACTGACCATTGATGTAATGGTAAAAAATTATTGAACTCTTATGACACATGTTGGAGCCTCTGTGCAAACTTCCTAGTGACCCCACAATGATGGAAATAGAATAACTACTGTTTTTGCACCACAATAAAGCTGAATGATTTTCTATTGTTCCACTTAGCCTGAAGTAATGCAACGTGAACTGGCTCTCTGTTATCCCCTTAACAAGTTTGCTGTTTCTCAGATGATAGTTGTTTTTATTCTAGAGAATGCCACTTAGAGTCACACTGGTTCAAACATTTACTTTCTCCAACCATTAATAGATTCATTAGGATCTTCGTGAATAAATGCTTTTATTTCTTTTTGTTCATTAGTTTCTGGTCTCTGATAGGGTAAATATATCACTTGGGCCTCAGGAGGAGAGGATGATGATGTCTGGCTTGCATACTGTTGAAGAAATATTTTGTTGCTGCTGTGGGCAAATTCTTGGGTGGAAATATGTAAGTTTCTTGCTGCACCTTCGTTATGTTAAAGTATGACCATTGTGCAAGCATGATTCAATGTAATTCATAATTAGATTTAATCAACCCGACAGTTATATTGTAGTTTTATGAATGAGTTTGATAAATACGAGACATTCTGTTCTTCGATTTACATATCTGAAGGTTCACAGTGTTGTTTTGCTAAAGATTTATAAGTGAAATAATCCAGGATGTATCATGTGAACAGAAACCAGAATTAGTTCCTGAAGTTACGAGCAACAGTGCTCGTCTCCACCATTTCCCCCTCTCTTCTTTTCGGCCTGATCCACCATTCCCCTGTTATGGAAAGATGAAGGAGAACCTATGCTAGGCACCAAAGGATTTGACAGTCACTTTAGTTTGTTTTGAATTTTATGTTTGTTTTAGAAGTCTGGGATTTGATTAGACTCAAGTGGATAGAGTTTATCTTCTCTTTTTGGATTATGATACTTCCAATGAGATTAGTATTGGGATTAGAGCTCCTCTATAAATGAGCTCTAGGATTACTCGTCTGTATTCATTTATCTTCTCTTTTTGGATTATAATAGCTTCTTTTTCTTTAATGTTTACACGGGTTCATTCAATCAGCATTAGCTTTGATAGCACACTAATTTTTCAGTGCGATTATTTGGTATGCAGTATGATCAGGTTTGGTGACACAATAGTCTTAACTGACATTGATTTTTCATTTCTTAAGGTTATGGCACATGACAAAAATGAAAGATACAAGGAAGGGAAGTTTGTGCTCGAGAGGTATTGGTTTAAAACCCTGTGGATTTAATAATTTGTACTCGGGAAGTTGAAACGTAAAATATATTATCTGTTTATGCATCTAACAGATGGAGAATAGCTGATGATGTTGCTGAGGAGTTCAATTTGGATGCCCGTCCTGGTTCAAGCGATGCTGAAAACCCTTAGCAAGTTGCTGCTTTTCCTTGAATTCAACTATCATTAGCAAACTCAGGCCAAAAAAAGAAAAACTATTGTTAGCAAACATACTACATATCATGTCAATTTCAGGAAGAGACCATCTCAATTGAAGCAACTGTTGTAAACTTAGCTCAATTACAGCAGTTATATATCTTTGTGAATTTGTATATTTTTTGGGTAGTCAATAGTGGTCATGTCCCCAATAAGCGCCCCGAGATGCCTGTAGATTGGAAGTGTATCACTTTGATTGATCTCTAATTTGCACGGAGAATTGGGTTTTTACTCCAATAAATTCACATTTCAACTTCTCTATACTAAGAGATTAGTTGCTAGCAACAAGTTCATCCACTCCCAACCAATACAGCCTTGTTCATACCCGAGCCAGCTTGTTCTTACTGTTCTACATGCTTGTGATTGCTACAATGAGCTGCACCTTTACTTTCTCTAGAACCCTCCCTTCTCCAGATCAAATGGTGGCGAAGTATGCATGTTATATTCAATATTTTGGTGCAACTGCAATGGAGATGATTCGTTCTGGGAATTCTTGTTCGTTTATTGAAACTGGTGCAGTATAGGGGGTAATCATTGGACTGCTTTTTGCAGCTTTTAGGTAATCCCCTTTGCTTGAGCGGTACTAGGGACATACATGCCAATGCGTGGTTGATGCTCCACTGTGAAAGGCTTTTATCCATTGAGGGATGGGGAAAAGTGAAGCGGTGAAGTGGGTTTTACTCATTCAGCATTTGACTTCTTTGAGAAAGAAAATGCCTCATGATAATTCATAATCACAGGACGGGGAGGCCTGTCTTTTCAGCTACACGCTTGTGACCAATGAGACAAGAATCTATGCCACATCCCACCAGACAGACAAAACTTTTGAATTCGAGCACCAAACCAAATCAATGGCTCCCACTCTGCTACGTTGTTTGCGCTTAAGGATTAAAGTAATAACAATTATGGAATGCCCCTAGCATATTTAACGTGTACCTGCAGTCTCTGTAACCAATTATGTGGGACCCTGCTCTGCTTATGAATGTTCATGCATGATCTGAACATTTTTTTGGTAAACTTTTTTTTTGGGGGAGAAAAAGAGGCGAGAAAATGAATTAAGTATTGAGCCTGCTCAATGCGTTTTACTCTTTTTGAACGCTTAGATTAAATTGGTGTTTCTCTTTTCCATGCTCCTTGTTTAAATATTGTATTTTCTGTTTTGAAGTACTTAAACATATAAATTGAAAGTAGTGTCAAATTGACATAGATATAGGGCCTGTTTGAAACAGCTTATAATTACATAAGTATCTTTTTAATAGTGATTTACGGAATACGAGATAAGTATGTGAGAAGAGTTTTATCTTGATTTATGTGAAATTTATTTATAAGAGATTTTTACTATTATGATATTATCCCAAACAGGCACACAAAGCATTCAAATAACTGATTTTATATGAGGAGCAGGGGAGGCCTAAAACTGTAAAATAGGTGCAGATAAAAGAGATAGAGTACAGAAGTGGGATTGGACCTGAAATGGAGAGAATTGAATGTGAGTGACAAATGGGAGAGGATTTGCAGGACTGAACTGGTGGGGGCCACCATTAAAACCCAGCAAATTCCGAAGGGAGAAGAAAACAAAAGAATGTTAATAATAATGAGAGCGATAATGAGAAAATGAAAAGGTAAGACGTAAAAGATTTGCCAATAATATACGAGGAAACATTTCCTATCTCAACTATTAAGAATGTAAGTTTAACGGTTTAAATTTCATATTTTAAAGATAATATTACAAAATATTTTTTTATCATTGTTTGGAATTATAGTGACTAAAATTTAGTAATTTTTTTATTTTATTTATTTATTTTTAAAAATTTAATATTTTATTTATAATTATATAAATATAAAATCTGAACTGTTAAAATCTTCATCTTATACTCCTCCGGTTCTTAATATAGGATCTAATTCTTAAGTTGGTTTTGGTCCTAAATATAAGACCCATTTTTCATATTTATTAATTTCTTCTAAATTACCCATATGGATATTTCCTCAGTCATAATCAAGTAGAAGAGGGAGAAGGGGTATTAAGAAAGATGATTATGATATTTTAGGAAAAATGTATCACTTTTTTTATAATTAATTAACTCACCTAACTTTCTTAATCTAATCAAATTAATTAAATAGATCTTATATTAAGAACTGAAGGAGTAACTTAAAATAAAAGTGGATGAAAATTAAAAAAAAAAAAAAGGAATGAAAACACCTTTTGCCCGAATTTCAGATGGCTTAGAAAAGAAATGAGTGTGGGATGAGGCTAACTTGTTTGGCAATGAGGAATGGACTGGGCCCACACAGAGAGAGAGGGTTGCTTTCCTTTCCTCCAAATATTAATTTGTTGTTATTTGGACTTGTTCGGCCCCCGCAGCCGCAGCCGCAGCCGCAGCCCGCACAGGGCCTCTACTTCCACGTGATGGCCCTCTTTCCTATATTATTTATTTATTATTAATTTTTTTCTTAGTACTTTTAGAAAAGATGCAGCATCTCCAGCCGGTTTCCAACCTGCCAACCCAGTGGTATTCACCTTGATAGTGTTTGGAAACATCTAAAATTACTTCTCAGAGATATTTTTTTGTAAAATGAGAAAAAAAAATTTCATATACTTATCTCGTATACCATAAAAATATTTTTAAAATCATAGTTTGGTTTCTATCCAAACATCCTCTTACATAAATAGACTCTTCATAGATCGCAGTTCCAAGCAAACCTTTAACTTTTAGAAATGAATTTTCTCATCCTCAATCCAATCCTCTCCCAAAAAAATATTAGAGAACTTCTAACCCACGGTGAGGGATAGTAGGAACTCTTACGGAGTGTTTGGATAGAAACCAAATTATGATTTTAAAAGTGTTTTTACGGTATACGAAGTAAATATATGGAGAAATTTGTTTTGTTTTACAAAAAAGTACTTTTTAAAAGCACTTCTATATGTACCTAAGCACCTCTTTAATCATATACTATATATTTACCTGATATCTTGACTAACTTTTCAAAAAATTATAAACCAGACTAGTCTGAATAAGATTTATATGGATAGTGACTTTACCTCCTATATTGTTGCATTATCAAAGGATCAAGTCTGTGACCTTTAGTTAAATTGGAACAATTTCTACTAATTGATCCATGAGCTCAGTGATTTATTGGTAGCAAGATGTGAACTCATAAAACTGCAGAGTTATTACCTGACTTGTTACTTACTTTAACAACTCTTCTTGGCTCTTCACATGGCATGTTTTGGAAAACATATTTAGACTAAATTAAAACGGGCCTCTTTCGAAAATATAGAGCACAAAAAATAAGGAATAAAAAATCCAACAAATTTTTTTCCAAAAAATAAAATCGTCTTTGTTGTTGTATTTAAAAAATTATTCCAAAAAATAATCTCTTTTAGGAAAATAAACTATGTTAGAGGATTATTTCCTTTCGCATATAAATATCGATATAGTTTCACGTTGAGTTTTGGCTCCTTTCACTTTTATAGAAGGATCAACGATGAAGATAACAATGGCTTGGGAGCATATATACGGGTGAAGAAGATGATAACGATAAAAAGAGAGGGGGCATGCCGTGCATATTTGTGTTAAGAAGAGTTTCAATAAACCCTCTCAATAATCAATTAATATCAGTAAACCTCTAAAAAATTCTCAAATTTCCCCGCACATCCTGACCAAATTTTTTTACAAAAAATGACAAATAAAGACTCATAATATGTGAAATTATGATATGGGACTCTCAATTTAAAAAAGAACAAATAAAGGCCCGGTCTCATATTGCAAATATGAAATCTTGGTAAAATGTTTGAAATGCCCTTTGACCAAATGACAAGTTAATTATAGAAAATGACAATTTCACTTTAACAAATGATAACTTTAGTAGACCAAATCACAACTTCGCTAAGGATATGTCAAATGATAAGTTGACTATGGGAAATAACAAGTTCACTTTAGCGAATGACAACTTCAGTAGACCAAATCATAACTTGACTGAGGGGTATTTCATACATTTCACTAAGATTTCATATTTGCAATATCGTATTGGGTCTTTATTTGCTATTTTCTAAATTGAGAGTCCCAAATCATAATTTTACATATTGGGAGTCTTTATTTGCTATTTTTTTAATTATTTACGTAAGAAGACAAAAATACTTTATTTTATTTGTGTTGCAGATCGTTAAATTCTTGTTACAAATCGTCAATTTCTTATTGCAAATCTTTGTAAATTTTATGGGCGAATAAATGAATAATTCAAATTCGATCATTTATAACAAGAATTCAACAATTTGCAACATAAAATTAATAGCTTGCAACTTGTAACATCCTTAAAAAAAAAGCTATTATTTCAAAAAATATATTATATTACATTTTATTACTATTAAATAATAATATTTTATTAATATTTAAAAAAAAAAGGGGAAGGGACAACACGTTCAGCTTTCCACCGAAAGCTGAACGTATTTAAGAAGAGAGGAATTTGGGGGAACTTTTGACTGAAGGAAGAAAAATATGGAGGAAGCATTAATAAATGAAGAAAAAATTGATGAAGGACGATAGAATTTGAAGGATAAAAGAAAGAGTGATCGCAAAGAATGGAAAGAAAGAGTGAGATGCGCAAAAGGAGAGACCCAGAGAAAAGAAGTGTTAGCAGTTTGAAGAGTCATACAAGCTTTGGGATCATATAGCTACATTAAAACACTTCTTTCTATTAAATTTTTCTCCATGAATATTTCCTATATATTTAAAGTTTTATATTAGTAGTATCATTATAATGTTTAGAGAAAATTTTGTGATCTGGTATAGAGTAAGTATTGAGTTTCGAAAATATTTGACCGAAGAAATTTAAAGATTTATTATTAAGAAATTTTAATCGGTCTAGATTTGTCCATTTATTACCTATGGTATTTAAAATCAAATTTATTTTGTTGGAAAATCTGTCATTTATGATATACATCATTTTATACCGATTAAAATTAAGTTAAATAATTTATTTGGGTTGTTTGATATATTATTGAAATTTTAATCGATTTATATTTTTTTATTGATTGTTTTAAGAATTTTAAACTAATTTTGGTTGGAAAATGTATTATTCAAGATATATAGAATGTTTTTACCGATTAAATTTAAGTTAAATAAAATTATTTGGGTTACTTATATATTATTGATATTTTAATTGGTTTAAAATGTAAAATAGGTTAAGACTATATTATTAGAAAAATTTTGAAACTGGAAACTTAAATTATAAATTGAGATTCTTACAATATTAAATAAAAA